TGATCCCATTTTTTTTGTACTAGGGATGGTAATACCTTATTTTCTGGGTCCTGAGCTTTCTAAACAAGGTTATTTTTTGGCTTTAAAGTTAAATGAAGTGTTGTTTGGGGAAGGAGGGAAGATAATTGGATGGGGTTCTGAGAGAGAGTGCCTACTTCCCCAGGCTTGCCCTTTGCCTACGTTGGCAGGATTTACCTGAGCCCTTTGGACAAATGTATCAAGCATCATTGTCTTCTCTTTTGGACTAGTTTTTCTTTCTGTTTCCAGGAGGAGTGAAGAGAGTGTAAGAAAGAAGTGTCTCTGTAGATGAGAGAGAGGTACACTGACCCCATTGCCAGCAGTTGAGCTTCTCTCCAAGGAGGTAGATGCCGGCGATCACNCTTATTTGCTCATTGGGACCTAACTGTACTGAAAATTGGATACAGTATTTAACAGGACTTATTAAGAAGGGCTTTGTGTTTAAAATAGTGATTTCAATAACAAATATAGCAAAAAATTATTATTATTATTAATTAATTAATTAATTTATTTTTTAAGATGACTGGTAAGCGGATCTTAACCCTTGACTTGGTGTTATCAGCACCACGCTCTCCCAAGTGAGCCACAGGTCAGCCTCCATTTTTTTTTTTTTGCCAGCTGGCCAGTACGGGACCCAAACCCGTGACCTTGTTGTTATGAGGCTGCACTCTAACCAGCTGAGCTAACTGGCCAGCCCCAAAGTTTATTTTTCATTTCAATGAAAGCTTAAAATTCACAGTAGAGTAACAATTTAAAAATTAATTATTGAATTCAATGCAATTGATTTAAAATGTTATTGTTATCAAAACTCTAGGCAATCAAAATTTTCTCTGCACTTCCTATATCTGCCAAATTTCAAACGGATTCATTTCTTTGTTTCTTTCTCTTTCTCTTTTTCTTTTTAATATAGATTTGGGGAAGGTTTCAGAAATCTTTACTCAGAACTTCAAAGAGCCAAAACTAGTTAGAATTCGATGTCAACACATCTGAAATGTCAACACATTTTTTTTTCCTTGATAATTTCCTGTGATTTGGAATCCTGATTTAAGGAGTAATTTTTAGTATTCCATTTTTTAGGTGTTTGCTTTCAAAGTGAATATCGCCATTGGGACTTTATTAACCAGTTAACTTCTCTAAGAGCAGAAAACACGTTAACAAATCCAAGTTGCATGCATCTGTCTGCAGGGTCTCCGCCTCCTTTCAGAAATACACACTCTGGTACTGAACCTTCTGAAACTGTCTGGTTTCTTGCACACACGGCTTATATTTTCACACCAGTTCATAGATTGGGTGGAAGATGTCACTTCTGCCATTTCTATTTTGATAGAACAGAATGGCATGTGGGCGAGTAATGTGGAGACTGTATGTGACTCTTTGCCTTCCTTATACGCAGAATCAGAAGAGAATACCTGCGTGGCTCCTTGGGTAAGGAAAAAAGCATGGGCATTTTGCAACCCAACTTTCTGGTAGTTACTTTTTCAACAAAAAAATATTCTGGGGGTGGGGAGGAGAAAGTGGGAAGGAGAATAAAATCTTCCATTTAAAATCAACTAAGATTTTTTTTTTTCTTGTGAAGAAGCAACATGGTCCTACCCACCTATAATTAGAAAGTTAAGCTTACTGACATCTTTACATTGCCCCCAAACTCTGTCTACATGACGATTCCAATCTCAAGTATAGAATGTGGTTTTATCTAGTAACTGCTTTACTGAAGGTTGAGAAGCAATGTAGGGAAAGAGGGATGGGATGCACTGCTGGAGTTGGAAGAGCGAAGAGGGTCATCTGGACTCACTTCCTTCCAGAAGGAAACATGGCAACAGCATGTGTCCCTCAAGCCCTCACTTGGGGGGAAGGGGAGAGACCCTGATCCCATTTTTTTTGTACTAGGGATGGTAATACCTTATTTTCTGGGTCCTGAGCTTTCT